GAGAGAGAGAGAGAGAGAGAGAGAGAGAGAGAGAGAGAGAGAGAGAAAGAGAGAGAGAGAGAGAGAGTGTGAGTGTGAGTGCCCACATAGTCCAGAAGAAGGGGTTGGATCCCATGGAACTCTGAAGTCACAGGCAGTGGGGAGCTCCAAGACCTGGGTGAACTCAGATTGTCTGCAAGAGCAGCAGTCTCTCTTAGCTGATTCATCTCTCCAGCCCCATGGGAGCCCTTTTTTAACCAGACAGACAGACAGACATTATGAATGAAATGAAGTCTACAAAGGAGGCACTATTAGCAGCTATTCACCTGCCTCCTGCTTCCTTTTGAACTTGGTAGTGAGGTGAGATGCCCAGGCCTGTGACACATGACTGCAGCTCCCAGGGAAAGGCCAGAGACTGGAGGTGCCCACCCAGTGGCCTGACAGCCTACGCTGCCTCATTTAAGCATCGCAATTGAGTGTTGCTACTGTAGCAAAAGCATCCATTAGCTCCCATCCAGCTAGTTTTATAATTGCCTGAGGACCATGTAGTTAACATGTAAGTCCACCATCCACCCATTCTCTAGACAGTGGGTACACTTTTATGCTCAGATTTTATGTTTGGGTCCTGGTCACTCCCCTTACTGTGCCCATCATCACCTGAGTTTCCACTAATTGATGATGGGCAGATCTTCAGGAATATGACCCTGTCCTAGACTGCCCAGCAAACTCCACTAGCTTTGTTTTCTCACTTGTTAATAATGTAAAGCTCAGGATGCTCCCCCTGGCCGCTGTCAGGTGACTTCACTTGGCTTCAAATCAGAATGAATTGGCTCTGATTAATGGCTTCCCTTTCTCGTGTATGTGCTGGCTCAGTAGTCTCGAACATGGGGGCTCCTGAGTGGAGCACCAGACTGTTTTACAATCCCAGATTGTTGCCGTAAAACATTTATCGCCCTTGTTTTAGTGCCTTTGTTTGGACATTTTGATTGCTTTCTCTGCTCAGCTCCAGACCATCATTAATCACCGCGTGGTTAATCTCCATCATAGTAGAAGCCTCTGCATCCGGTCTTTAATTATCTAAACGGCATGCGCACGTTAAGTCATCTCCTGTCCGTGGTGGATACTGACTCCAATTTGCTAAATTATTACTATTAGTGGCAATACTGCCTGCAATAATTTTTATAGCTCAAATAAAACCAGTGTTATTGCTGAGCAGCCCCACCAGCCACTTGCTGGTGTGACAGGCTTCTGAATGACACTGTGGACCAGGTCCCGCTCCCAAGTGACAGCACTAGTTCACGTGAAGCCATACGAGGCTCCAAGGGGACCGGGATTGTTTGAAAGTCACTTTACATCAGTTAACCAGTCGTCCTAAACATGTGTGGACCTTACGTCAACCAAAACAATTCTGTAGGTAGAGCAGCCGTTGCATTGAAGCTGGGAAGTGTCGTCAAATGATAAACGGCAGCTATTCTGTGTTCCGAACAGTATAACCCACCACCACTCTTTCAAAACATCCTTCACCATGTCTCGCTCAAACGTGTCATTTACTGTGTTTTTACTGGCTGATGCTGCTTTTCTTCTTCTTCTTCTTCTTCTTCTTCTTCTTCTTCTTCTTCTTCTTCTTCTTCTTCTTCTTCTTCTTCTTCTTTTTTGATTCATTTTCTTTCCTTTTTTTTTTTTTTCCTTGAGACAGGGTTTCTTTGTGTAGTTTTGGTGCCTCTCCTGGATCTACACCAGGCTGGCCTCGAACTCACAGAGATCTGGGATTAAAGGCGTGTGCCACCGCCGCCCGGCTTTAACCCATTTTCTAAAGATTTATCTTCTTATGTGTATGAGTGTTTGCCTCTATGAATGTATAGCACCGTGTTTTTGTTGTTGTTGTTGTTGTGCCTGGTGGCTGAGGAGGCCAGAAGAGGGCGTCAGAGTCCCTGGAACTAGAGTTCAGATGTTAGTGAGCCACCACGTGGGTCTGGGGACTGAACCTGGTCCTCTGCTAGAGCAGCCAGGGCTCTTAACCATCGAGCGGTCTCTCCTGCCCCAAAGATTTATTATTTATTATTAAAATTGTGTGTGTGTGTGTGTGTGTGTGTGTGTGTGGTGACTGTGTGTGCATCTGTGTGTATGTGTGTGTATGTGTGGTGTGTGACTATGTGTGTGTGTACATCTGTGTGTATGTGTGTGTATTTGTGGTGTGTGACTGTGTGGTGTGTGTGTGTGTGTGTGTGTACATCTGTGTGTATGTGTGTGTATTTGTGGTGTGTGACTCTATGTGTGTGTATGTGAGAGAGACTGTGTGCATTTGTGTGTGTGGTGTGTGTGACTGTGTGTGCATCTGTGTGTGTGTATGTGTGTGTGTGTGTGTGACTCTGTATGTGCGTGTCTGTCTGTGTGTGTGATGTGTGTCCATGAGTGCAGGTGCCCGAGGAGGTCAGAGGTGTTGGACCCCTTGGGGAGGAGATCTTAGAAATGGCACTGTGGCTCTCTGGCACAGTCTGCTCTGCTGTCTAGAGTGGCCCAGCCTCACTGAAGGGTGAGTGAAGGGTTGTAGTGATGTTTTAACCCCACTGTGGTCCAGTTCCCATGTACTGTAGACTTTCACATGGCTGCTTCCCTTGTGAGGTCTGAAGTTCATTGTGTTTTAAAAAGGAAAAGAAAAAGCCGAGTAGTGATGGCGCACGCCTTTAATCCCAGACAGGCGGATCTCTGTGAGTTCGAGGCCAGCCTGGTCTACAGAGTGAGTTCCAGGACAGGCTCCAAAGCTACAGAGACACCCTGTCTCGACAAACAACAACAACAACTAAACAAAAGCCCAGACAGAGCACACCAAGCTCAGACATCTTCTGGAGGCTGGCAGAGAAGTCTGGAGTCTCAGAAGTTTCCTTCTGAGACTTAGTGCTGTGTGCGGACAGTTAGCATTACCCCCTCAGCGGCTTACACCCTGCTCTGGCGGCAGCTCCACCTTAGGTTGGTGGAACAAACCTGCTCGGTACCTCAGCGGATTCTACAGTTAAGGCTTAGTTCTCGCTTCTGTGTGTCCAAAGTGGGGTGAGGCAAGAGTGGGGGGCGGGCAGGCTGTGGTCCACCTCGCCACTCAGTGACTCAGGCAGAGGGAGCCCTACCACCTGGAACCTGACAGGGCACAGTGACCAGGAGGGGCCACGGGGCAGCTACCAGCGTGGCACGGCTTCCTCACTTCTCTTAGCTTTATCAGATGGTCTCATGAGTTCGAGGATGCTGGGAAATAGAGTGTGTGGAGAGCTGATGACCTGGCTCTCTGCATCTGTGGGATGCTCCTTATAAGCAGCGGCCTTGGGTGGTTTGCTTTGAGTGTGTGCTGGAGTAGTTGGTTATGTTATTGTATGGCGGATGCTAATGAAGGTGGTCAGGTGTGTCACGCTGCTCGGTAATGCCGTCCCCTCTCTTGAAGCTTCATCAAAGAACGGTCAAAGGTCAACTCGGTTCCTCTGAAGAACAAGAAGGCCTCCAGTTTCCATGAGTTTGCCCGGAATACCAGTGATGCTTGGGACATTGGCGACGATGAGGAAGAGGACTTTTCCTCACCTCCTTTCCAAACTCTGAACTCAAAAGTGGCTTTGGCAACTGCGGCCCAAGTCCTGGAAAACCACAGCAAGCTGAGGGTAAAACCCGAACGGTCCCAGTCGACAGCATCAGACGTCCCTGCCAGCTACAAGGTCATAAAGTCCAGCAGTGACGCCCAGCTGTCCCGGAACGCCAGTGAGTCTCTCCTGCCCCTCCATAGCCTCAGCCTCTCAGTAGAGTGCAGCTAGAGAAAAGAAGTTCCTGTGCAGATCTTCATGGGATGATTTAAAACAAACAAACAAACAAAAAACAATAAAAACAAAACCCCCTCAGGCCGGGGTAGGATGCCGGCAAGCCTGACTGGTCGCAGGCTGTCCCTGCCCTTCCCACTGGCTCTTTCCCTCCCAGCTCACAAACATTCCCTGCCATCCTCCCCACCCCACCCCCCTTTCCCGGCAGTGGCATCCGCAGCTTTCTGTGATGAGGCTGTTTCACACTGCTCTGGGTCCGGTCAGCTTTACAAATACTGACTAAATGTATTTAAAGATGTCAGTGACTGAGTTCACAGATGGTTCACCTCCTCAGCCCTGGGGAGCAGCTGCCCACCTACGGAGGCCTTTTTCCTGTTTCTGTGAAGTGTGTGCCGCAGGACCAGGTCACAGCTCCCTGATAGTCACCTACCCATCAGGTTGGGTGGGCTGGGAGGAAAGACCTATTTTGTTTGGTTCTCTCTCTCTCCTTTTCTCTCTTTCGCCCCAGAACAAGGTTTCTCTGTGTAACAGCCCTGGCTGTCCTGGAACTCACCTTGTAGACCAGGCTGGCCTCGAACTAGCAGAGATCTGCCTGCTTCTACCTCCTGCCTGTTGTGGTTAAAGGCCTGGGCTACCACCAAGCTGTTTTGTTTTCGTAATCTGGGAACCTGGCCTCGGTTACTGTTGGGGGTGATGATGGTTTTGGATGTCTGGGGACTTTCTGTGTACATTTAAAGGCCCGTTGCCGTGCTGAATGCTGCTCCAAAGGGTTTTACTCTGAGCTGGACAGGGACGTGCCCTCATCCTGGTTACAGGTCATGGGCATAAAGGACGGAGGGTGTCAGAGCCCCAGAGGGTGTCTTCCCTCAGGCTCTGGGAGTTCTTTCACAGCTTCGGACCTTGCACGAGGCCATGCAGCTTGCTGTAGGCTCCTCACCGTAATTCTGTCACTTGCCTTTGCTGAGAGGGCCCAGCTTGAACCCAACAGTGCCAGTCTGAGACAGGCTTTCAGCCTTGATTGACCAGGTGGCTCAAGCTATGGCTGAGGTTCCCAGTGACTGGAAGGCCCCTGCCACGATCCCTGCAGGCTGCTCTGTGCAGCCGACCCCTCACATGTCCCCCTGTGGAGGTTCCCTCCATGTACATCTATCTGCCTGCACACAGTGGATGCTTGAGATGCCTGCCTGTCTAAGCTTCCCTGCGACTGTTTGCATTTTCTAGGCCCCCGTTGTCACCGTGGACATCCCAGCCAGGTGCCTGCGACAGCTGTTGTGGTCTTCTGGAGTGCTGGCTACTTCCCGTTCAGTGTTCAGTGTTTGCATTTAAGGTTCAGCTATTGAAGAGTGTGGTGCAGCCTTGAGAAGGCAGTCCCTGAAGCAGCTTCTTTTTGTGGCAATTAACTATAAAGAGTCCCAGGGCATCACCTCTGCCTCCCCAGTTCCTCAGCTTTCCCAGGCTGAGTTCGTTCCTCTGTAAGATAGTTAGAAACTCTTAGCAGATGTTGTAAGGGGTCGCATGAGAGACCCCTGCTGAAATGGTCAGCATGGCACCTTCTACCTGGCAAACTGGGTGCCTGCTCATCCTGCACTGTGACTCCCGGCCACCGTCCGATTTAGACCATCTGCCGGAGAACGCAGTGCTCAGCTCGGTTGTTTCCACTGCTCCAGTGGAAACTGGCCGAATCCGAAGCCGGTTCATTTGAGCGGGGATGTGGAGCACCGAGGAACCAGCTCCTCAGCACTGGGTTCCTGATGCCAGAGCTTCCTCCCCACCTCGAAGGGCTCCTGGTAGGCCGAGGGCAGGCTACAGAGCTGTAGAGGGCAGCCTGTGTGCTCTGCAGGACCATGGCTTAGCCTTTTGTGCACTCTGTGGTGGGTGGAGGGGAGAAGAGCTCTGCCTGAGGTTGTGTGGCTACCACACTCACCCCGAGGCCCTGAGGAGAGGTCCAGGTTAAGGTGGATCATCTTCCTTGGTTTCTCCACACACATTCTCAGAAGTTCCTGCAGCATCGGGAGCTGCCTGGCCCCCGTCAGCTGGCCACAGCTGGCCTCTGCAGCTGCATGTGCAGCCCCTCTGCTTGGGAGCAGAGCCCTGCCGGGCCTCATCCTCTCGCTGCCCCTCAGCTGGGTCCTCAGGCGGTGCCCTGGAGAAGGCACCATACCACCCAGCCCGAGAAGGCCTGAGGGCGTCCGATCCACGGCCTGCCCACGCAGTTCTCTCTTTTCAAATCCCTCAGGTGACACGTGCCTGAGGAACCCACTCCACAAACAGCAGTCTCTCCCTCTCCGGCCCATCATCCCCCTTGTCGCCCGGATCTCAGACCAGAATGCCTCTGGGGCCCCTCCGATGACAGTCCGGGAGAAAACCCGCCTAGAAAAGTTCCGTCAGCTCCTTTCTAGCCACAACACCGACTTAGGTGAGTTCCCCGGAGCGCTGGGCGAGGTAGGCTGTGGTGGTGGGAACTCAGAGGACAGAAGCTTCCACCCTCGTCCTTCTTTGACTTTCTAGCAGCCCCCGTCTGGTGCCGGTGCAGAGATGCCCAAGTCTTTAGATAGAAGTCTGTAATCAGAGATAGGGACCAGAGTCAGTAGGGCTGTCACTGGGGTCCCTGTGCAGACCGTGGGGCACCTACTCCAGCTCTGTCTCTGCCGCCTCCAGGGCTTCTCACACCAGTCCACACCACTCCACACTGGGCCAGCGCCACCTGATGCAGACAATGAGAAATGAGTCTTAGCCAGGTCAGGTTGGAGGGATCACAGCAGGACTGTGGCTGTGACAAGTTTATTGAGAGAGCAATCAGACTTTTTCTACCCTTATCAGAAAGAGAATGCAGTGCTGGTTGCCAGGATACAATGATGTTTGCAGGCTATATAGGGTATACGAGATTCACGTCTCCGACCTGTCAAACTTCTGTATGCTTCTCTGACTTCTAGGAAACAGAGATACACAGGCAGCCTGAATCCTTCACTACCTGAGGGAGTGTCTCGGTCTCTCAGGAACTAAAGGGCACACAGTACCCCAGGAGCCACAGACTGTAACCTGAAACACCTATGATGCATGCCTCTCAAGGCATCCAGGCCAGGCCAACTCCATGATTCCCTGTACACACCCCCAGATTCTCTGAGCCAGTGATTACTGCAGGTGCCCCGGCCTCCTGTTGCTCGGGGCTGAGGTGTGGAACCTTTCCTGGCTTGTCTTAGCAGGCATGCATTGGTGGTAGTGATGATCTTCAGTGGTAGGAGGCATCTGGCCAAGGTTTGTTTTGGGCTTTTGTGGGAAGCCCTGACTCAATGAGGCTGTTTTCTGTGTGTAGATGAATTGAGGAAGTGGAGTTGGCCAGGCGTTCCCAGGGAAGTTCGACCGGTCACCTGGAGACTGCTGTCGGTGAGTTCCACCCACTGTGAGGAGAAGCGTGGGCCTCACACAGCCCTTTGCCTGCCAAAGTTGGTCTGGACACATTGATCTTAGGCCATAGACTTCTCTGGTCCCGCTGCCTGGCACAGCTGTGAGGCTGTGTGCAGAGAGACAGACACATCCTTGAGAGTTTATTCCCACGCCTGCAGGTGAGTGCGTTCCCACGCATATGTGGAGAAGGCCGGGAGCTGGCTCCTGTGGTCACAGTGTCACTTCCTTAACAATGTGGGGAGGGGTGGAGCAGAACAGGAGGACCCCAGCCCTGGCTTAGAGGACGCCTCGACACTCCTGAGTGTTCGAGTCCATTTCCCAGCTCCGAAGAGTCAGCTCCAGGCCTCTCAGGAGCCACACAGGTCTTCTTTCCCCACGCTCAGCAGCACCCCAGCTCCTGCTTTGGGATGCTTGAATTCGAGCCTCTGGAATCTGTTCCTTCATTTAGTGGAGGTTTTCAAAGGCTTGTTTGCCATGTGCATACCCCAGATCAAATGAGCCCCCGCGCCAGGTCTCCAGCCCTCACTATGGAACGCTATATTATACTCAAGACCTTGGAGAGGGGGTCTCATCACTGTTCCCTACACCTGGTCTCCCAGCTGTGCAGTCAGTACCTCTGCCTCTCCTAGGAAGTTCAAATGCTGCTCAGGGTGAATTTGGTGAGCAGAAAGGGGGCAGGAGACTGGGGGGTGAGAATGGGATCCAGGCTGGCAATGAGACAGAAGCCAGGGTGCCAGCTCTGTCCCAGCCTTTTGACTCCGCTCAGCTGGCCGAGCTGAGGGTTCCCAGTGTTACGCTGGAAAAGAATGTGCAATCTGTACCAAGAAGTGTCACAGAAGTTGCCAGATCCTTCCAGTTCCCTTGGAGGCTGTGACTCGGGTCCAGATTCCTCCCACTGGCCTCCATTTACTGCTCAGCGGTGCCAGCTCTGGGAGCCCCCACGGTGTGAAGTGTGGGGCCAAGGCAATGGGCAGGTTGGGAAAGCTGGCCTCCCTTCGCCTGCCCACCCAGAGTCCACTAACCAGAAGAGGCCGAGCACCAGGTGGCCTGACCCCAAAGGGACCCGCCTCGCCCTCCTGGCGGTCCTTCTTTCTGTTCCTTGGTGGTTTCCCAGCTACTGCTCAGGCGAGAGTGAAAACCCATCCTCTGACAGACAGTGTTGTCTTTAGGGCTATCTCCCGGCAAACACCGAGCGGCGGAAGTTGACCCTGCAGCGGAAGCGGGAGGAGTACTTTGGCTTCATTGAGCAGTATTATGACTCCCGAAATGAGGAGCATCACCAGGATACTTACAGACAGGTACGGCGTCTGTGGTCTGCGCTGGACCTGTCCCCAGCTGAGGTGCCCCTGGAGCCTCTGTCCTGTGTGTTTGGGATTCTCTTCCCTCTTTGCTTTCAGCAGCTCCCACTTTGGCATTTTTAAAACAGAACTTACCATGCACGTGTATGGGTGCAATGTATGTATTTCAGTTTTATTCTCATTTTTAACGATGTGCATGTGCGTGCATGTGTGTGGATATGCACACATGAGTGTAGGTGCCCATGGAAGCCAGAAGAGGGTGTTGGATCCTTGGAGCTGGAGTTAGACACTCTTGTGAGCCGCCTGATGTGGGTCTGAAAACCAGACTCCAGTCTTCAGGAAGAGCAGCAAGCACACCGAGCCAGCTCCTGATTGTTTTTTTTTTTTTCTCCTGAGACAGGACCTCACTGTAGCTCAGACTGAAGCTCGCCATGTAGCTGAGGCTGACTTTGAACCTGCCTCAGCTTCCTGATTGTTGGGGTTATGGGTATGTGCTACCGACTCCTTAGATAGATGTGTTTCTTGGCACTGGTCAGTGGTGGTGCATTCTCATCTTTCGTGTGTGTCCAGATTGTCATACGTACGCAGACACAGGTACAGACGTGTGCACGCACGCACGCACGCACGCACGCACGCACGTATTACCACTGGGTGTAGGACTTAAGGTGAGGCCTGTACTTGTAACGTGCTCCCTGGTAACAAAGGTGCTGTTGACCACAGGCCATCCTGTGAGGATTAAGGGCCATGGGACACACAGTAGAGTGGGAAAGCTTGGAGGTGGTTGGTCCCCTCTGGACCGTGGCATCAGTGTGTCTCTGTGGCTTCTACAGTGCCCATTCAGACCCTCGGGCTGCAGAGGTCCTCAGACCTGCAGAAGTGTCCGCCAGCAGCGGCCTCAGGTGGCGGGGCTGGTAAAAGGTGGGCAGCAGACAGCTGCGGTGACTGTCCCCAGAAAAACCTCTTCTGACGTGGACTGTCTTCAGGACGTTAGCCTAGGCACTGGAAAGGCCTCAGAGCCGATGCTAACTACAGTGACCTCTTGGGTAGCAGAAGTGGCTCTGGTTACCAAAGGTCAGCTGCCCTGACTTCCTGTTCCTGCCCTCCTCTTACTCACTCCCTGACCTTATGAGCAGTCCTGCCCTGACTTCCTGTTCTGGCACATTTTTAAAAGCAGCAGTTGGAGCTCTTTTTATTCTTAGCAGTAGTTGCGGGTTTTGTTATTTAGACAGGGTCTTGGCATGTATCACGGCTGGTCTTTAACTCACTCCATAGACCAGGCTGGCCTCAAACTCCTGCTTCTGTCTCTCAGGTACTGGGATTACAGGAATGCTGTGATGACTGTCACACCCCCACCCAGCTGAGACAGGATTTCACTTTGTTGCCTAGGCTGGCCTTATAGTCCAGTCTGGCCTTAGACCTCAGCCTCAGCCTCCCTGGTGCTGGGAATATGGGCACGCACCACCACACCAGACTCTTAGGAATTGTAGATGAGTAAAATCCTGAAAGAGGGGTACACACTTGGTCGTGTCTGGTAAACAGGTACTGTGCCAACTTCAGAGAACCAGAGGAGAGCCGTGGACTGCCTCAGGCGAGAAGCCTGTTCTGATTAAGTAGCTTATTTAGGGGTTGTAAATGGAGGCTTTTCTCATTTCACTCCATCTCCAAATAATCACTCAGAGGCTTATATTAATTACATATGTCTGACTGATGGCTCAGGCTTATTACTAGCTAGCTCTTACATTTTAATTAATCCATATTTCTTTTCTTTTCTTTTTTTTTTTTTTGGTTTTTCAAGACAGGGTTTCTCTGTGTAGCTTTGCGCCTTTCCTGGAACTCACTTGGTAGCCCAGGCTGGCCTCGAACTCACAGAGATCCGCCTGCCTCTGCCTCCTAAGTGCTGGGATTAAAGGCGTGTGCCACCATCGCCTGGCCATATTTCTTATCTATGCTTTGCCACGTGGTTCATGGCACGTTAGCTCCTTTTCTACATGTCTTGCTAGCTGTCTGCCCTGACCCTGCCCTTCTTCCTCTCCAACTTTAGTTTGATTGTACCGCCTAACCTTATTCTGCCAGGCTATTGGCCAAAGCAGCTTTATTTATCAACCAATGAGAGCAACATATATTCACAGTGTACAGAAAGACCATCCCACAGCAGGGGGTGTTTCCTGTCTGAGCTGTGGCTGACATGGGGACATAACTTCTCCTAGGTGGGTCTAGCTGGGCTTTGTCTGTGCCAGCCGGTCTTTTAAGTGCTCCAAGTGCTCCTTTGATTCTGATGTCTTAGACATTCTTAGACATTTGGGCTGCGGCTTCTGTTTTTCAGATTCACATTGACATTCCAAGGACGAATCCTCTCATTCCATTGTTCCAGCAGCCGCTAGTCCAGGAGGTGAGTGGATCCCTGCTGTCTGGTCCTTCTCCTGCCTGGGCCCAGTGGCTCCTGTTTGGTACCCCATGTCCACGGTTTCAGGCGTTCTCATCTGCCCTTCATAACAGGCCTGGGTACCAAGTAGTGCTTTGCCCGAGCCTAGAAGCAGTCAGCATACTACCTTAAAATTCCTGTTCCTAGGTTTGTTCTACTTTTTTTTTTTTTTTTTTTTTTTTTTTAAAGATTTATTTATTCATTATGTATACACTGTTCTGCCTGCAGGCCAGAAGAGGGCACCAGATCTCATTACAGATGGTTGTGAGCCATCATGTGGTTGCTGGGAATTGAACTCAGGACTTCTGGAAGAGCAGGCAGCACTCTTAACCACTGAGCTATCTCTCCAGCCCGGTTTGTTCTACTTTTTAAAGCTGGAATGGTGATTTTTTTTTTTAATAAAATACATGCATCAATTTGCTATTCTCTTCCCTTTTTGTACACAGTGGGTAATTAATAGTACCTAACTCAGTGCATCACATGTGTTTCCAGGTATTTTTCCATTTTCCCAACTTTAATTTAGTACCCATTAACTCATAATCCCCTTTCCTCTACCACCACCACCGTTCTGTTTCTTGTCTATGGATGTAACCACTCTAGATACCTCAAATAAGTAGAATTATATAGTATTTGTCATTCTGTGTCTGGCTGAATTCACAGTGTCAGAAGTCCCTTCATTAAAAATTTTTATTATACATATGTATTTATATTGTGGAGGGCACACCATGGTACGTGTGTGGAGGCAGGGGACCACTGACGAAGGCTGGTTTTCTCCTCCCACTGTGTGGGCCCTGGTCATCAGTCTTGTCAACAGGTACCTTTACCCACAGAGCCACCTCTCCACCCGTCCCTTGATTTTAACTATTCCATCGTCATTGCTAATATTCCATCACGTGAATAATGTGGCATGTATTGTGGACACGTGGCTTGCTTATCCCTTTCGGCTGTGGTGGTTAATCTATAATGAGCACGGCTATGCAAATACGTTGTAGACCATGTTTTAAATTCCATTGGAACTAAATCCAGAAGTGACATTGGTGGCGATGTTTCAAGACCTCGAGTTGCTGGAGCACATGGAAGTTTCCAGTAGGACCTTTAACTTCCTCGAGCAGGGACGATCCCCCGGGGAGACCAGCAGCTTCCTTTGCAGCTCTGCTGAGGTCAGGACATGGAGTGGCAGGGCTTTTGAAGCGAGCTTTTTGCTTCTTCATAATAGAGAGTGACGGTAGGAAGACTGATCTGTAGCTCTGGATAATATCCATATTCCATTTAAGGACAGAGGTCTCTCCTGCTGGGATCTGTCGTGTAACTTTGAACACCAAAGGGAAGATTGTGGGGTGACGCCATTATCTCACCTGAGATGCGGCACAAAGGAAGTGGAAATGCACTCCTTTCCTCCTCTCAGTCTCTGAAGGCTCAGCCCTGCTTTCTCCCCTCCACCTTTCACCCCCGTATGCCCGCTCTCATTTTAGAGGTGTGGATAGCGGCTTACCAGGCGTCCCCTGCTGGCGGAGCCTGGATCCAGAGATGGAAAGCCACACTTTCCGGTTTTCCTTGCACCCCCCTTGTGTACGGGGTGTTGTCATTTTGAGCAAATGGAGGCACAGAGACCTAAGCAGCCCCGGTGCTGAAAGGCTTGCAGACCTGATGATGCTCCAGCACTGTGGGGAGTGAGTCCGACTTGCCCCACTGGTGGAGGAGCTGGTGTGGGAAACCCTTCAGGCTACCCTCTTCTCCCTGAGGGGCAGTCACTGCAGACTTCTCCTGTAGCGCAGAGCCCTGTTCCCCAGGCAGCCAGGCTTCTTGTCTTCATTTTGCATCTGTCTGGCCCCTTTCCAGTGTGATGTGTGTGTGTCTACGTCACTCATTCTCCTGACTTGAACAGCCGGTCACTGAGGCTGAGGCTTTGGGGTAGCAGGTGCCCTTCCTTGTAAGTCCTTCTGAAAGGCCAGTCTGAAGACAATTGTTTGCTTTTTGTGACACTGGGGATCAAACCAGGGCCTCTCATGTGCTAGGCAAGTGTTCCAGAGCAGGCACCAGGTCAATACAGGGAACAGGGATGCAAGGAAACAGTAGGGCTGGGAATTCTTGCCTTTTTTTTTTTTTTTTTTAAAGAAAAGAGTGGCTCTAGCCTGGGCTACATTTTGTTTTGTTTTGTTTTTCGAGACAGAGTTCCTCTGTCTTCCTCAGGTTTGTCGCTTTTGGAGCCTGTCCTAGAATTCGCTGTAGAACAGGCTGGCCTCGAACTCACAGAGATCCACCTGCCTCTGCCTCCCGAGTGCTGGGATTACAGGTGTGCATCACCACTGCCCAGCCGTTGGGCTACATTTCAGAGGAAGAAGGGGGTCCTTTAGCAGCAGAGGAGCGAGTGCAAGAGGACTCCCTTCAGAGGTTTAATAAGACAAGGACACCACACCTCCCTCAACCACGGAGGACACATGAAGAGCCCTGTTGGAAGCGGGGAGGCCAGCCCACTTCTAAGGGGTGCTTGGTTCTGGCTGTTGGCACAGGTGCTCCCCAACTCTGCTGCCAGATTCTCTGGGAGGGGCTGACAGACAGCCTCCAGTGTGTCCCTGGGTTCCTTACATCGTCCTTACCCTGGATGACCGTCTCCCAAAGCTGCCCAACGTTTCCCTTCCATCATTCTTGGAAGTCCTTGTCTACAGGCCTGGCTGGGGTGGGGTGTGCTGTGGGTGCCATCTCCCTCCTGTGTGTGTCACAGAGACCCGGGAGAGCACAAAGCTGTTCTCCAGAAGCCCCAGGCCTGGGGGTCATGGCCACCAGGGCAGAGCGGTGAGCATGTGTCATTGGATTGAGAGAAGATGGGGAGCTCAGAAGGCCCAGTGCCAGCCTCGGGCACCTGCAGGATGGACGGGCAGGACTCTGTTAAGGGGCCATGAAGATCTCTTTTGTCCCCAACAAGCCCTCTGGCTTATTTTAATTGGTACATATATAATTCCAAAGACTCTCTCATGGGGTCCCTGGCTGACTGATTTCTCTGTCTCAAACCCCGACTACAGAGGCCTGTGGGACTGTATCTTTTTATTTCTGGGTTATTGCATTGTTTATTTTGGGGGGACATGTGCACGCCATGGCATGTGTGTGGAGATCAAAGGACAGGTTGTCAGGAATCCTTTTCTCCTTCTGTAATGTGGGGATTGGAGACTAAACTCCGGCTGTCAGGCTTAGTGGTGAATGTGTTCACCTGCTGATCCGTCTCACCAGACTTTCCCAGCTCATGTGTGGTTACATCCTGATGCACGAAGGACTTCCTGCAAAAATAGTGTCACCAATCCTAGTCAGACTGAACCAGAAAAAAAAAAATTGTTTTTTAGATTTTATCTTACGTGTATGGGTATTTTGCCTGCATGTATTTATGTGTACCACATGCATACCTGCTGTCTGGAGGTCAGAAGAGGGCACTGGATCCCCTGGTGTTACTGATGGTTGTGGGCCACTGTGTGGGTGCTGGAGTCTTGACCACGGAGCCATCTCTCCAGCCCCAGAACTGAGTCTGGACCTCTTTCCCTCTCAGTGGGGAGAGGGAGAGTGGTGGAGGGTGGTGGAGGGTGGAGGAGGGTGGTGGAGGGTGGAGGAGGGTGGTGGAGGGTGGTGGAGGGTGGTGGAGGAGGGTGGTGGAGG